TTCCTACTGAACCTCTGGACATCTTCCCCAATTTGTCCAAAGTTCTCCTGCGCCTTGCTTGCGACTTTCTTCGACGACGGTGGGACGTATACGTTCCCTAGAAACAAGTCTTTCTCACCCCGCTCCCCAGGTATCTTTAGCCAGAGGCTTTCCTCGAATTCCGTTTTCACCACTACTTCCACCACGTCAAACAAGTGTTCCTTGACCAGGAATCCGACTCCCCCCTCCCCCCTTTTCTTCGGGTCTAAGCCCTTTCTTGCCTTCCCTACCCACCGGTATTTCCCTAGTTTGCTTACCACGTCACCATCCTTCAATTCCCACGTCTCTTGGATCCCCACTACATCTAGATCGCTTTGTGTCCAGGGGGGGCCGCAAAATTTGTCGGAGATGCAAGCAACGAAGCGATCACAATCTACGAATTTGTCGGAGATGCAAGCAACGAAGCGATCACGATCTACGGTATGAGTTAGCACCGGTAGTGCGTCACACAGCCAAAAAGCAAGTGTAATTCCCGCCAGCGCTCTTGTCATTTCGCGCTGGTGAGGGGAGAGGCCGTTTGCGCATACGATCAAGTTTCGCCCTTGTTCACCGTTCATCAAAAGCGCAAGTTTTGGTCGCTGTGGTGGATCCGTCGAAACAACCAAATACTCTCTGCGCATGGTTTGTGGGGTTGCACCCCAGTCGTGCACTCACCACGCCCGTTGCTTGCATTGTTCTCAATGTGTGATCGAACGGCTGCCTTGCTTGAAATGAAAATCGATACAACCGAAGAGTCGACCACGAACCCGTTCATGTGTCAGCGCACTTTCGTCGCACTGCTGCGGCAAAAAAAATCGGTTGTGTCGCACCTTCGTCCCTTTTCCGCTACATAGTCACAATTGTTTAGAGCAGACGAATCTGTTGCTTTCCCGCAATGGAATACCACATCCCGTGGAGTTTCGATGGCTACAACACGCCCCAAGGGTGGAGCTGAAGTCTATGTTTTATAGAAATTCCTTCTCCACCGAGCCGCAACGATGACGACGCGAGTGTTCGGCCCCCAGCCTCTCCAGTCATCCATCGCTTCCTACCTTCCAAGGGAGTCTCGACGCCACGCTGGGCTTTTGCTTCTTGCCGCTCTGTGCATGATGTCGTGCGTTGTATGCATAGGTGGAGATATACGTTGCGGTGGACGAGATTGAGGCAACCGGGGTCTCCGCTAGCACCCGGGCGTTCGTCACCGCCACAGCATCTGCCGATAGCGCCTCGGCCATGAACACCTTGGTGGGAAGGGAGTGTAATTCTTGACGCGTTTCCCGCGAAATTGCCATTTTTCGCAGGACTCTCCGAGTTGCTGCAGCCGCGGGACGGTCTTTGTTTGTGATAAGGTCATGTGTGATGAACAGAAACGTCCCGTGCAACTTAACCCCCCCCCTTTTTTGAGACATAATATTGTATTCGGTTTACCGCGTAAGTTCCGAAGACATGATGACTGGGACTTACCATTTCTCCGGAGAAACTGTTGTCCGACAATCATTGCCCGTTCCAGCGAAAGGTCGACACAATCAACTCCGCCAGAATGATCGAGCATTCCCCGAGGCCTTTGTTTGGAATTAATGGACGAGACAAGTTCGACAGGCATCATAGTCCCTGTTTCAGTGTCTTCATCCGCCGTCGGATCTACCATGTAACTCTTTTTTCAATCCCTCAAGTATGGGTCGCACTGTCATGTACCTAGGAAGCACGAGAGTCCCTGATGGGTTGCGCTCTTGGAATCCCACCCCTTTCCAGGACGGCGACGTGTCTGCCTCTTCGTCGTGGACTTGTTCTGCGGGCGACGAGGTGTGCGAGGTCACCTTCGACCTCCAGGCGGTGGAATCCCTCGAACAGCTCCGCATAGGTGGGATGGGTGGGGCAGATGAATGGAGAGGCAACTGTTGCTACGTGGACACGACCTTGCCTTTTCTTCGAACGTCAGACAGCGTTCTTACCATGTTCATTATCTACGCACAGGGTCGAGATAGATTTGGAAGGGTGTCCCGGTAGCCGGAGCATTCGCAACCGGGGAAATATGGTGTCCAAGTTTTTATGTTCAGGGACCAAGCACAACATCGCGTCAACACCTATCCTCTCCAAATTTCGATTTGAATGCCAACGCTTCTTCTGCTACGGCCGCTTTTCTTCGTTCCTTTGTTGCCGGCGGCGGCGCTTGCTTCGGATCTGCTTGCTCACCGCCGTCGTCAGCGTTTTCCGAAGAGACTGATGCCGTCGGGGGTGAGTTCAGCGTCATGACCGCGGGCGAGTCGGGCGTCTTCTCCGCCGTGCGCACGGGCATCGAGGCCGATCCGGCCGCCCGGCCGCTCGGCACAGACGGGCTGCAAACCGTCGGGGGCGTCCGCGCTATGGCGCGGTACGTGAAGCTCGGGGTGACGGTGCCCACGAGCGGGGGATCGATCGCCATCAGTGAGGTGCGTACGGGGGTCATGTATACTGGTGGGTTTGCGTCTGATGATGCAACTCCAAAGGGACGTGTCACATTTATATGCCGTTCATTTCATCCTTTTGCGCTGGCCAATCAGGGTCGTGGATGTACTCGCGGACCCAAAGACACCACTCTCTTGCAAGTTTCGCTGATAGCTCGCCCGGGATCCTAGTGATGATGATCAGTTTTTCGGGGTCTCACCTCAGATAAGGGTGAAAGACACGTCTGTATCCGCCACAAGCATGTTCCCTGTGTCGTTGTCTGTCTACAGACATGCCACTGATTTTCGCCGTCCCCGAGCAGCTAGCCACGTACCCTCGCACCGCTGGTGGTGGTGGTTTCGTGCAGAGGCGTGCGCAAGAGCATTGCTACGTGCGAAGGCGCTCCGTTCCGTTTCGTCCGTTGAGCACGTTTGTTTCTCTAGTTCATGACTCCGACGATCGCAATGATGTTTTGCTGCTCGCACAACGTCGACGCCTTTCGGTTTTTCCTCCAAGGGTGCTTGCTTGTCCACATGCTATTTAGCCGCGCGTCGTATCCCCCAACAACGCAAAGAAGGGACGACAAGCATTTGAGGTCGATCCATGACGTGCCAGCACGTAAATTGTCCTTTTGTGACACAACCCCTTGCTGCGCCGAATACACGCAATCATCAATCAATCGATCAAACCGGTTACAATCTGATTGAAGGTGGAATTCAGGGTCGGCGAGGACGTCCCCGCTCGCCCGGTGGCCGAAAAGGCGTGGCTCAAGACCACCGGTCCACTCCCGCGCGCCGTTAATCCTGGCGGTTCCCAGGACCCAAGCTTCGACATCAGACTGCCTGAGGACGGCGGGTGCGACCCTCCGATCCACTTCGAGGGGTGCCATGTGTTTTATATCAAGGTCCGGTATTTGTGTTGCTTCCGCCGGATCGTTTCTCTGGTGTAGAGATGGCTTCTTTTTTTTTCTGAGTATTATGTGGTGGTGGTGCTGGAGTTGGCGTTTGGGTGTCGTCGAAAGGGTGCTTTCTATCTATTGCTTTTGTTCTTGCTTCTATGGTTGCACCGCCGCGTCTTGAGGCTGTTTTTCTATGATTGTTTTTTTCGCCGTGGTTTCCGCTACCCGTTCTCCGGCGGCTGCCCATGCTACCGAAGGACTTACCCTTTTTCCCACCGACGTTGTCGTTACCTTGCCTTCGATGGAATTGTATCTACCACAGGACGAGAACATGGACTCTCGTTGGACCTGTGGCCCGCTCGTAGCCGGATCAGACAGAAATAGCTGGGACTGTGACCTCGAGTTCAGCCTCAACTACTTCCGATACATCCGTCAGATCCAAATCGGTAAGCATCATTGTTTCTGCCCGGCCGGCCGACGCGCCAAGCGACGAGGCGGCGAGATCGTCTGCCGTCAGGATTCTCCAAAAGCGTGTGTTGCTGTTGCCCTTGTTGTTGGTATTTGGACTATTATAGCTAGTTTTCGACATTCTTCTTGTGGTGATGAGTTCGTCGTCCTCGGGCAAAATCTCTTGCTCCTCTTGGATTGGAGTACATGTTCGTTTGACTCCGGTGTCCCTCCTGCGTGCGGATGATGGGTCGCAAGACTGAGATGTATAACTGGGTGTCCCTCGGTCTGCCGTAAGGGTGTCCCTCTGCCTGCCGTAAGGTGGATGGGTGACGACGACGGCTAACCGGGTGTGTGCCAACAGCCCGCAATCGCACCCCTTGAGTGTTGTATCCTTGGTCTAATTTTGTTCCCGTTCGGCGTGTGGTAAATGGCGAAACGGTCGACGCAAACAAGTAAATAGGCCGAGCCCGACCTCGTTCATGCATCTTAAGCCAATCGTGGTGTGACCAAGGAAAAACACATGAACGTTGTTCCCCGCCCCCCCGTTCCCCTATTGTCTCTAGGGAAGATGTGCATTTGCTTTTCCAAAACATGTATCTTGGAGGGCTGAGCAGATGGCGGTTGTTCTCGTCGTTGTTCAGTGGATGATCGATACGATCTATGCCCAGGGCCTCGTGTGCCGTTTTGATTTCAAGCTTCCGTAGTGGTCAACGGCAAGGAACGAGCATCGGAGTAACAAGGAGCAAGGCGCATCGGACACAAACATAAGAACAGAAAACGTGGCCGCACTCGTGTGAGAATAAGTTATCAAGCCCCCCACGTCTAGACAGACGCACTTCAGGCGCCGACGAAACAGCCCTTCAGGAAAAACATGGTAACAATCGATTGACATGGCGGGGACTACTTTGGGTAACACTGCTGTGAGCAGACCCGACGTGATGGCCATTCTGGGAAAGGGCGAGACGACGACGACGACGACGCCAACGCTGGGCCCAGATTGGTGTAGCAGCATTGTGCAGCGAAAAAGTTTGAGATCGGGCTCCAATCACTGGGTGACAACAACAGCAGTGGGCAGACGAGGCAGGAGGGAGCGTTCGTTATTTTTCTCGGGATCGAGAAATACAAGAACGGTTGTTTGGCTCCGTCAGGCTGCTAGCGTTTTAGACGTTTGATGACTGCCCGAGCTGGGCGGTCAATGCTCCGAGAACTAGAATACCCTAATGCCCCTTCTCCGCCTCACCCCTCGCAGCCTTCTACACGGGAGATGGGGAGCATAACGAGTTTAGCATCGAGGCGTACACCGCTGCTGGCGAGTGGGTGGTGAGCTGGCTTGCTACTTTTTGTGCTTCGAGTGCCCGCGCATGTGGGGCTGAATGCTACGCATGAGGACCCTCGTTCCTGCAAGTTTAAGCCTTAGAAAAACGAGTGTGTGTCCCAAGGTTGTGTGAGGGGCGGTGTCCATTGGAGCGTCAAGGATTCACGTGGCTTGACTATGCCCTTCATGTAATATACATGCCCTGGCTTCAGTCGCCGTCAACGTTACGGGTGTCCGTGATGGCGGAGATGGAAGGTAGTGGTTGTAGTAGTAGTTGCTGTTGGGAAAAAAAGCATGTGTTCCTTGAGGTTGAGTCGGGTTTCCATTATGGCAAAGATGGAAGGTAGAAGTAGTAGTAGTTGTTGTTGTTGTTGTTGCTGTTGTTGTTGGGAAAAAAAGCAACGTGTGTTCCTTGAGGTTGAGTCTCGGTAACGCGCGGCACACTTCAGCGTTGCTGGGACCGGTCGTCTCGAAACCAAGAAGTACTCCTTCTCTTCCTCGGTTGCTGCTGCTGCCGCTGCTGCTATCATGGCCGTTGTTTTGCGATGAAGGTCTTGTTGTTGTTGTTGTTGTTGTTGTTGTTGTTGTTGTTGTTGCTGCTGCTGCTGCTGAAAGCATCATGATTGTCGTTGTTGTCGTGCGGGATGATGGTGCTTTTCCTTTCTCTGTGCAGACGGTTGTGCCGTCAGCGATAAGTTCCGAGGACGGCAGCGACTACCAAACCTTCGACGTGGCAGTCCACACCAACATGATCAGGCTGCTGCCGAAGTTCGGCCAGATTACCGACTTCATCGGCATCAAGGAGGTGGGTAGCCCCAAGAGGACGGGCGGTGCTTTGGTCCCGCTTTTTTGTCGTCGACGGGCGATTTCCGCGGGGGATGGCCCCTTGTCATTCCTGCGATGTACGGTATGCATTACTGTGCAGGGGTAGTCCACGTGCGGCAAACGCCACCGACATCCAGAGACAGGCAGGGCAAACGAAATCAGCTGCATCGGTACACCTTCGTTGATCATGTGTTGTCTTTTTGCATGCGACGGGTTGCTGCCGATGACGAAAAACAGCCATGGAAATGATTGTTTGGGCTGGATGCCAGTCGCCGCTTCAACCCTCGTGCTGCATATCTTTGCCTACTACCACCGCTGTGACCCCTCGGACGAGACGCCTAATCCATCCCGGATGTTTCGCCGACGGCGGGTGGTTTGTTTGTTCGCCCCCGGCCTATATGTGCGGCCCGTGCCTCATGTTTTTTGTGCCGCGGCCGCGGCCACGAAGTTGGTCTTCCTGGAGAAGAGGAAGAAGGATTTCATCGAAGGAACCATTCCAGTCTTTTCAACCAGAATAAGGGTGAGTGGATCAAGGCGTTGGTTGTCGCGTTTGGAAAGCCGCAGGCTCTGCTCTGCAGTTGATGATGTCGTGAGTGAAGCCGCTGTCATTTACGCCCTTGTGTAGTAGTGTTGGTTGTCTTGTCTTTCTTGGGAGCTGGTAGTCTGGCCGCTCGTAGTCGCTGTCTTTCACGCAGCGCGGTTCGAAATGGATTCCGGAAGGAAAACGATGGTCAAAATCGGTGTGCTTCGAACTCAATGAAGCTCAAGCGACGCAGAGAGGAGACCCGCTTTCGCCATCACACAGAAGAAATAGCACGCAACCTCGCGGCAAATAGCTAGCGTCGCTAGTTTTACGTCCCATCCGATGTCCTCCACGGCACCGCCCCCCCCCCCCCCCCCCCCCCCCCCCCCCCCCCCCCCCC